GTCCTATGATAAGCAGTCCTATGATAGGCAGATTCCAGTAGTATTTGTGGCACAGGACTTGGTATCTCTGAAATGCAAGACTTTCCTGGTTTTGCTTCTTGGGTATCTGCAGGACTGCTCAGTGAAACTGAATCTGAAAGACACAAATGGCTCTAAATAGTCTTCAGTCTTCCCAGAGACTGGCCTCACACTCCTGTGCACCTACCTGGGAGACTGCTGTATTTCTGAGAAAACTCCCCATGGAGAGTCCAGCAGCTTGAGGCCAGTTTGGAAGCCACACTACACCAATTTACACACATAATGAATCTGATGTTAGTCATCTTCTGACAAGTTTTCTTTATGGGTGGAGGCACCACTTCCTTCATAACTTTTATAGAGAAAATAAAAAGGATACACAGAGCTTCAGATAAGTCATCAAACCCTTTTTCACAGTTCACAGCAAACTAACCACACACAGAGTCTGTGGTAATACAGACTTCAAATTCTTCTCCATCCTCAGCAAAAGAGGATGATTGTGGTATTTTCTGTACTGTGGTAGATTAAACTTTATTTCATCCTCTTTATCTCTTTTTTAATTTTAAGGCAGTACTAATTGCTGTCTCCTAATGGGAATGGAAGAGCTAGTTTACAGCTTTGTCACAAGGGACATATTTCACACCTGCTCTGCCGGTTGAATGGTTATAGATAGGCTGTTTGTGTCCCTGTGCAAAACTGTCTCAGCAAGAGTGATAGGAAGACAAGACCATCTGTATTTGTAAAGCTTTCAGATCACATTGCAGGAGTTGTTTTACATTAAGCAGGTGCAAACTAGCTCATTCTTCTTGGAAAGACTGCATGTTAAATGAAAGGAAGCCACAAGTAAGTGATAGAAATAATTTCAACAAAAAAGCTGTGTGAGCTAGAGAATTTATAGGAGAACTGATACTTCTGTCTCAGTTGTACTAAAGTATGCTGAGATAAAGGCCTACATAATTGACATGAATCTTAGGGGATAAAAAATATTTTCAATGCCTAATGTTCACTTTGTTTCACCTGAAATCTCAAAACCTAACTATCACTGGCATGTTTGTCTGGGGATTTAACCTGTACACTGGTGCTCCATTTCACAAGACTTCATCAAGTTACACTGTATTTTCAATGTTACTGGATACTGGAGAAGTTTAGTGTCTATTACTGTTTTTTCGCGCTGCCCAGGAACCATTTCTTGTCTGCTAGTTGTTTGTATGTTAAATACATTAAACATTAAATGCTTGCACAGTGCTCACCACTGGCACTGCCAACTTCCCTCCCTCTACACATTTCACTGAAAAGACGGCCAGGGAAGTCTGAGCCCTCCCAGCCTGCGTTTTTCTAATCTGAAATCAGGGAGTCACTCCTGAGGTACAACCTAACGTTTTCTCTGCTTGAGAAAGAAGCTTAAAAAAAACTAGGGCTAAAGGCTCTGGACATGAGCCACAACCTGGAGAAGCTGTGTCAGAAGGCTGTGACAAGTGAAAGCAGTTTGTCATCTGGCTTGAGAATCAGTGTGAAGGAAGAAAACAGGAGGACTCGCTAGGAAAAGAGACAGACTGACCAGCTGAGACTGGAGTGCACTGGGATGGATGAGAGAGGACACCTGATTATCTTCTTCAGGCCAAGAAAAGGAAAGGAACTGCTGACAGATAAAGAGAGAGAGAGCAAGCAGTTGGGCACAGGAGTCATCTAAGGGCTACCAGAGTGGTGAGCAGATTTCTGAGATTTTCAGGTTCTTAAAGAAAGTTAAAGTTGGGTGTGCTTCAGAACTTAGTGGTGTTCTGAGGTCATTTCAGCAGAAATTGCAAACCACAGAAAGTTTTGTATCTCACTTCTGGGTTAATTTATTAATGCATTTGGGGTTTGCACTGAATAATGTGTTCTAATTAAGATATATTCTAATCCAATGTAATCTAATTCTAATGTATTTCTAATTAAGGGAAAAACCCACACAAAGAATGAGGCAGAAGATGGTGTGAGGTGTTTCTGTACCCAAGATTCTAGTGTAAGGACTACAAGTAGCTATACTGTGTGGCCACGAATGAGCAATGTCATTGATTTTGGCTATTCCAACTATCCTTCCTTATAACTTGAGCTTAAATAAGAGAAGGAAGTAATACATACTTCTTACCTGGATCTTTTTAACTCTGATTCAAGCCCTGGGAAATATTATGGAAATTCCCAATGAGTGCTGTATCCTGCCATACTGAATTCAGTGGTGGATCTCAAACATGTGACAGATTTCTCATTACCCTAGCTTGGTGGGTGGGACAAATGGAGGATATCTGAAATTCATTCTCACACCTTCTTAAGTTTAGGCTGTTCCATGGTAAGTCAACAGAACTGAGGAACACTGTGAAAGCTCTGTACTTGGCAATCATAGGCTGGAGAAAAGCCAGAAGAAATCACAAACAGCACCACAATATGCATTATTATTTTGCTTTTCTAACTGTCAGTGTTCCTTTGCAGTGCTTTGCACAGTATTGGTATATTTCAATTACTTTAAAGGTCTAGGAGGTGTTTTTGAGGATGTGCACATTTGGCCAAGAGACCTTGCAGTAAAGTAAGGTCAGACCTGGATAAGGTCACAGTGCCACAGGCATCATGCTAGAAAAGGACAGAGAAACATGAGACAGAAACGACTGTGAAACATGTTTGATGAAAATCAATTGCTAGAATGTTCAAGCCCTTCAGAACAGATGCAGTTCAGAGCTGGTAGGGGAATGTTACTAAATGTGAAAAGTGGTTTTTAGTAGTTTAACTGGCAATCTGATATCAATGGTTTCAATACAGCTTGGTCTCTGGAGAAACAATAATTGCTTTAGATGTGCAACATCTCATTAGAAGATCTGTTCTACAAACACCAATAATTTCCTTATTCCATCCTCTTCTGAATAGTTTCCACTAATTTGGTGGAACAAGATTGAGCTATATATTTTGGCATCTATATTCACAGTATCACACCCAGCCCCAGGAAATCCAGGTGACATTAAACCTGACTGTTACTTGGTGCTTTTGCAGTGGTATTTGCAGCTGACATCTCAGCACATGAAAACTAACTGGTCTGGTTATGAGTAGACTGCAAAATTTCTTTTACCAATATTACTGTGTCTCAGAACCCTTGAAATTGAAGAAATAATGCATCTGCTATCTTTATTCCAAGATGATTACACCTGCAGAGAAAAGTAGATGGTCATTGACATGTTTCTGCCTAAAAAAAATGTATAATTGAAGAAATGGCACTACCAGCTCATTATTATTGTCCTGTGAATGTAGTGCTCTTTTCCAGAACTCTTTCAGTGCATACAAGTGCAAAAATTTTTGAACATTGTCTAGTGTCTCCACAGATTCTTTCCATCATATGAAAGAGTAGCCTAAAGTCTTGTGGTCCAAACCACTAAAAATAAAATTTCATGTTTAGAGAAGAGGCACGACACTTCTGGGTGCTCTGCTGTGTACAAGTGCTTTGGGGTGATGCTAGGTGTATTTGTGTCTCTGTTCTGGTAGTTCTTACAATAAAAGGGGAGAAACACCTACATGTATTATTTCTTTTTGCAGCCACATTATACAGAGGAGGAGCCTGCTGAAGGGAAAAGTGTCCTCAGAATCTGCAGTCTGGGTCTGGGACTGTGAGAGATTGCCTGTCCTTGGGCAGAAGATCTATGCTCCTGATTTCTTAAACAGCAGCCTTTTAAATACAGCAGTGGAAGATGAGGGGGGTGAACTCTTCAGTGAGCTCAGCAAAGCACATTTTTTACTCTTTGGTTAAGGCTTCACATATCATTTAGGCTAAATTCTGCTACTGCACAGACACACAGAGCATTATTTCAGTAGAAGTTGTACAAAAAAAAAAAAAAAGAAAAAGAAACCATAGTTTGACCCTTGTCTTGTAACCTGGAGAGAATCTTACTGCTCATGCATGCTCATACATGCTGATGTGACCTCAAGTGGCCTGAAGACAGCGTTTCATTAGGACACAACAGACTGTCATTCTCTTCAGATTACCATACTGCTTTCAAAGCAGAATTTTAAGCCTTGTTTACCTTGTTAGGAAAGTGCCAGTAGGTGAGGGCTGGTCAGACAACATTTCCATTAATTTCCATTATCCCTTCTCAAAATACCAGTTAAATCAGAATATATAGATATAAGTTCTATTTTATCTCCTTTCCTCATCTGAAAGATCAACGTGTAAAATGCTGGTAAGTATCACTAAATATTTTAAACAGAAATACATTTATCCAAACCCCAAAATCTGGCCACAGGGAAAAGACATCTGACCTGAGATGCTGACCCATGTTTCTTTTCAATCATTAAAGTCTCTGTGCAGTCCAAAAACCCTCACAGAAATGCACAGAGAGTTTTATTCCTAAACAGAAGTTTTCTGAGAAATGAAACAATGTAATAATTGAGTTGCAGGGCATTTCTTATCCATTGGGGAATAAAACCTAGAAATGTTACTTATGCTATCTATAGTAAAACAAAGAAGCCTTTTCTATACCATGAAATTAATAGCAAGAATATTCTGGCACCAAGGTTAATTTTTTTTTTTTTAATTTTTAGGAAGGATAAAAACATGAAATTATATTTTCAGGACGAATGATAGAATTAGGAAAGTATTAAAAAAAATTATTACCTTAAAAAATAAAATCTTTGACAATATCTAGGCTGTGTTTTCCCTGATTTCAGGTTTTCTCTTGATTAGCTTTCAAAAATGTGTTTGCAGTAATACTACCTCAATATAAATGTTATCTTTTCCCTGTGAATTTTTACTGGGATTTGGAGAACAAAGCTTCCTCAGCAGAAAAGTGGAGAAAAGACTTATTTTGCTGAAGAAATTCAGGGTGCCTCTCAATTCCATCAGATGCATTTTATGTGATACCCACTCAAAAATAAGCAAACTCAAAGTTTCCTTATCCTAACTGAGGCTTGACTCATTAGGCAGACTACCAAGAACCAAGACAAAAAAGGTGTAGCTAATGTTTATTCAAAGAGAGCATTTTTAAAATGGAAGAAAATAAAGACATTTGGGAAAAGAGATGGAGCCTACTTTGCTACAGGTCATGATGATGATGATGATGACCATTATGATGGTTACATTTAGCAGGGGGCACTGGAGGCACAGAGCTGGAGCTCCCACAGCTCCAGAGGTGATGCAGAGCCTTCACCTGCTCTGAGGACAATGTTTCCAAGTGCAGGAGCCTCCACGAGTGACCAGTGTAGGGGACACCTGGAGCCACTGCTTTATTATTTTTGGAGGCATCACTATCAAAGGCTGCTCTGGATGGCAGCAGTTCCAAGGATTCCAGGGCTGTGCCCCTGGGACCATCCCACAACAAACAGGGTCCTGAGCTGGGGGTGGTTTTCATCTGGGACCTGAGGCAAAGGGGAAATGGTGACAGTGTCTGAGGTGACTCCCTCTTTGCAATATGAAGCAATCCCATGCCTGGCCACTTCTCCACTATCCAGAGTGGTGTCACACCCTTGTCCCAGGGATGTAGGGATTCAGCTTCCACAGGGCAGAGCATACTTGGGGGTGAGGCAGAAGCGATGCTTTTGTCAGAGGAGAAAAGAGATACTAGAGGAAGCAGTCTGCTTGCTGCAGTGTATTAAAGGATCTCTAAAACTTAATTAAAAATTATTCTGTGGCAATGTAGGGTCACCACTCTACAAATGCACTGGTTCTCTTGGGAAATCAGTGCCACAAGTTCTTATGTGGCAGCTCACAGCATATCCCAACAGGAGGCACAGGCATACTGCATCTCCCAAGGGATGCTGCACACATGGTACAACCTCCAGGACCACAGCAGACCTTCGGCCAGCTCCTCACACTGGCAGAAGGTGGCTCAGGTATGCTTACAGGACCCCTGCACTGTCAGACCAGCCAGAGACCTGGGAGGGTGCCAAAAATGACTGTCCAGCCCCGGCACCTCCGGCAGGGCTGGAGAGGACACGACCACAGGACTGAAGGAGTCCTTTCAGATGGGCCTTGAATGTCACGCCAGCGAAGGCGTAGATGATGGGGTTCAGACAGCAGTGGATGAAGGAGATGGTTTCTGTCAGCTGCAGGGCCAGTGCTATCTGAGAGCTCGCCTTGCAGTCATTGATGATGTGAAGGCTCTGCAGAGAGTCGAGGAACAGTGCGATGTTGAAAGGAGTCCAGAAAAGGAAGAAAACTATGACGATGATGAAGATCATCTTGATTGCCTTGACCTTGTTCTGGTTTTTGCATTTTTGCAGGTTTTTTAATATCTGAGTGTAGCAGCAAATGAGGATGCTAAAGGGAATTAAGAGGCCCAAGATATTGGCTGCAAACTGAGAAGCAACCTTCCAGGTATTGTCACCTGGGGGGTATGTGGGGACACACTGCAAAACCTGCTCGATCTCCAGCTCCTGGCTGAACATGATGTTGGGTACAGAAGCCAAGCCGGCCACCAGCCACAGGATCAAGCTGATAATTATGCCACAAGTGGCTGTCCGTATCCTCATGGCATAGACAGCATGGACAATCGCTATGTACCTGTCCACGCTCATGAGGGTTATAAAGAAAATACTGCTATAAAAACCTGTGTAGTAAATGCCAGCCATTATCTTACACATGGCATTGCCAAAAACCCACTGGTCTGAAGCATAGTGGGCTTGGAAAGGGAGGGGCAAAACGAAGAGGAGATCAGAGGCTGCAAGGTTCAGCAGGCAGATGTCAGTCATTGTTGTCAGCCTTTTCCTGGTCAGGAGAACCCAGAGAACCAAGGAGTTTCCCAGGAGGCAGAAGACAAACACAAGGCAGTAAAGAATTGGCAGAAAGAGGGATTTAAACCTGCGAAATTTGTTTCCTTCATTACACGGAGCAGTGTTTTCATCGTATCCATAGTCATATTCTGTTGTGCCAAGGAATTGGCTGGTGGGATTCATCTCAGATACCTGTGCAGGAAAGAGAAAGGGTTAAACATGTCTGGCTGTCCTGGCACAGCACTCCCACAGTGGCTTCTGCTTCTATCTGTGCTGTGTTGAGCCTGTGGGTCAGCCTCCAGGCAGAGGGGGACTACAAAATTCAGACAAGAAGAGCTGTACCACCCAAAGGGCTGCCCTGTAGTGTGCTGATTGTTCCTGTACATGTGTAAGTGTGAGCACTGGGATGCTCTCTGTTTCCCTGAAACTGCTTTGGTGCCAGTGGACCAGCACCTCATCATCACAACGACAGGGAAAAATTCAGGTCTCTGAATAGTCATAATGATTAAAAAATTACAAATCCTGCACCTGATCTAAGGATCTCAGTTTTCTTGTGCTCCCTGGGATGGGGAAGCTTTTTACCTGTAGCATATAGACTCTGGTAAAAGAGTTTTGCCTGGTGAAGCCATCACCAAGCAGCCAGACCTCATTTTTAGCAGAGCTGATCAGGGCTAGGTACCGGCACAGACTGCAGAGACACGCAAGCTACTTCTCCATGGGTGGGTCCAGGATTGCATGCAAAAAGCTCAGCAGCAACAAGAACCTCACATGGCTGCACAGCAACCCCTGCAGTGCCAAGCTCTGAGCTGCCACCAACCTCCAGGGCAGCTGGTGAGCAGCTTGGCTGTGTCTTTTGCCACAACACAGCAGCTTAGCACTCCTGCCTGTTCTGTCCAACTTCAGTTTTCTAGTGTAGAGAAAACTAAAACATTAGTGGGAATGGTTCCTCTCTCTCACTTCTGAAGAATTACAGTGAAGGCAGCCTCAAAATAGTAAAATAATCTGACATGCTATCCAAGAGTGAGTCAGTGCTTTAGCCAGCTCTTTTATTGTTTCAGATGTCAGTTCATGACCCCTATAAAAGCAGATCAGGTTTCCAGACTTGAGTGATCACATTTTAAGAAGTGATGATTCTTTCAGAAGAGTTTGGTTTTTCACTGCTAAGACATTTGAAAGTTTAGGCTGTGCTCCACCTGTGTTGCACCTGCTTACAGCTTGACCACATCTTGAAAGAGCTTCAAAGACACAGAGTTTCCAGGAAGGAAGAATAATTTGCAATAATCATTGCTGTTAAGATGAAGCAATAACATGAATGGAAGTGATTAGTTCTATAGAAGTAGATGATGTGCTCTCCTGAATTAAAAATTACTGCCTGGGGATACAAAAAGGGAGAGAACAGTGAAAACTTTTTGTATTGATAGGAAGGAATCACAATTCACCCCTTCTTGCCTGGCTGTGCCACCTGTGGGGGGAACAGAATGATCTGAAAGTCAGACAAATGTATGTCAAACAGGAAAAGAGCCCAGAGGAGTGCCAGTATCTGTCCTCTGCTCCAGGTATGGATGCTGCTCATGCCTCACTGACCCTGCCTCAGCTTTCCTTGAGGCACCACAACTGTTTCAATTGGTGTGTGCAATGCAGAGAAAACTGTTACAGCATTCCACCCCACAGAATTCCTTGTTCAGAAATAAATAATGAGAGAAAAGCTGTGCTGCAACACTGAATTACATCAATAGCGTAATTCTCTACTATATTGAGCTCTTAGCTGTAGCTAAGACAGTTGTATTATTAATTTTAACTGTGTATAAGGCATAAATCTTTAAATATTTAGTTGGTGAGTAGCTAGATAATGACTCTTCTTGCAGCAACAGATAAAGGTAAAGAATATTTCCTGCTAATGCTTTTGATGTGTGAAACTGACACGCTGTGACTAAGTGATATAGGACTGGCTCTCGTTTCTTAATTTTCTGTCAAGAACCTCTTAAAAGCAGTTCATAGATTCAACTGCCAAAACTAAAAAAATATTCAAAAACTAATGAATACTGTGTTAAAGAGATATATATCTATATCTATAAATATGTATCTATAGATATGTAGCTATACATAAATCTATGTCTATAAAGCATCTACTTCCAGCAAAACTCAAGTGTTCTTCCTGGGCTGAACAGAGACCGAAGATGCTCTACTTCAGACCACCTTTACACCATTAATGCCTTCAACATCTCCCAACCAGGCCACAGCATTTTCCATGTTCCCTCTTCTCCACACCACTCAGCAGAACAGTCAAACTGAAAAAGCAGTTACCTTGATACGGAAGGTATCAAGGGAGAGGAGGCTGCTGCAGGTATTCAATAGCACATTGAATATGGACACATTGAATTGTCAATTACCTTTGACAGCAGGAAGCCTCTACTCTCTCAGACGGCTCTGACCCCCTTCTCCTCGTCCCCTGCTGCTTGGGCTCGGGGGTTTCCAGGAGGTTTACTCCACCTTCACCCCACTTGTGCAGACGGCTGAGATTTGGTGATATGCGGCTGTCGAATGGGCAGCTGCCAGATACGGGGTAGGCTAGGAAGCAAATAGAAGATTTTGTATCTGTGGTAAACAGGAAAAGAGTGAGAGGGCTATCAGGCACCTTCTGCAAAACAAAAATCAAATACATCTTTTCTTTAACATGGCAATGGGCAGCATTCCTTTTAACATGTTTGCTAAACCGTTCTTCTTCACAGCCTCCCCTGATTTAACTGAAATTTTTAAAAGTCCAGATGTCTCCATCACTTCTAATAAATTTGCAGCTTTTTACAGAAGCTGTTATATAATTTCCAGGTGGCATTTAGTTTTTCATTTTCTTCAGCTAGTAACAACTTGTATAGTGCAGTCTGTTTATATCACTCCCAATTAAAAACTCGTTAGCATTTTGAGCAAAATAAGAACTCACAGCTACTGACACCACTTTTTTTATCAAAAACTGATAAAAGTTTTTGATCAGTTCTTATATAGTGGGGATATTTCAGTTTCTTTGCTACCTTGGGGTTTTTTCAAGTCTATTTTAGTGACTTGAGGATGGAAAAGGACAAAATATTGAAGGCAGGCTTAATTTTTTTTTATTTTATTCAATTGCTTTAAATTAATTACATTTAGTGAGACACTAAAATTGTAAATTGTGGACTCTATAAGTCAGACAAATTATACCCTTTTTATCCATTAATCTCAACAGGCACAATTTTCCTGACTTTTAAGAGCACAGGGAATACCAGAGGTTCACTCAAGGGGTCCAAAACAAGTATGTGGCAGATCCAAAATACAATTTTTACTGGTTATTCACATGTTCTTTGGTTGCAATTCCAGCTCAAAGTACCTTTACAGGTTGCTGATTGTTGTTGCATAAATGAGTAGTGAAAGAGTCTGAATGAGAAGAAAAGCTAAATACTGAAGGCAGAAGGAAAATGAAAAGCGAGAAACAGACTGGAAAAAAGGAATAACGTAATGAAGGACCTGGCACTAGTCAGAAGCACAGTCAGAAAAAACCTGTTCCATGAGGTATTCAAAATATTAAGAGTGACAAGGGCATCATCCTGCCTCCAAGTACCCAGTTGGTCTCATTTCATAAGAGAGATCAGCTCCTCTTATTCTGTTTATATTTTTTTCAGAACTACTTTTTGAAAATCATTGCAACAGAGCGTTATTTTACTGTATTCTCTAGATATTAATTATATGATTAATAATATGTCAGTAGTATGTCCTGGTGTTACAGACACACAGTATGACATAACGTAGCTTTATTCTATTTAGGTTTATTTATATTTGTTTAGAAATCAATAAGGTCAGCTTTCATTATTTCTTAGGAACAAAATGTTATTAAATTAAACACACCTCCATTTCCATCATATGCTTTTTGCATTAGTTTGGTTGATAAGTTATTAACACATATAAAAATAAAACAATAGTTTGACATGAAACCAATAAAAGAATAAAACATTTCTGCATTTTAAAACGTTAGCACATATTTTAAAATTGAAAAAAAATCTTTTTATTCTTGAGTTATTTTCTGCTGCACAAATTATGTATTTGCAAAAATATTTCAGTTCATTCAAAATGCATATTTTTAATTGGGAAATCTCCCAGCTGTGTACTTTTACCAGGCACAGTTATGCACAGGCAGGCAAAAGGAGGCATGAAGCTGGGAGAGGAAGTAGGAGAGCTGGAGAAAATTGGAGCAAGCAAGAAGATGCAGATGATCCAAAAGGTAAGGAAAAGAGCTTGAATCCAAGAGAACAAAAACTAAAAGAGAAGTGAGCAGGCCTGGTGGCTGATGTGGCTAGAGGATGGCTAGGCTGGCTGCTATACTTTGGGCAGATCAAGGCACATGGATAACAGCTTGGTAATAAGGAGAGCAAGGAAAATATTGTGGTGGTGCTGGTGTTTTGGAGAAAACAGTAGAATTGAGAAGTCTGATGTAATATTTCCAAGAGTAGCTCTGCTGTGTTTTGGGAAGTGATACACAGGTGTGAGTCCCTGACCCTACCTGGCTTTCAGGAAGGTTTATGTGCCTGCAGCTGCTTCTGTGGTGGTTGGTGTTCCTGACACACAGCCAGAACCTGAGCTTTTCTCAGCAGAGAAAGAGAGTTCATGAAAGGAGACAGAGGATGTGATTTGTCAAAAGCAATGAAAGGAATGGAGTAGAGATGAGTTTAGGAAAAGTGCTGTTTCTGACTGGCAGGTGCGAGGGGGTGGGTGGGAGGTAAAATCCACAGGGATGGGCTTGAGAACTGAAGAGACAATAATTACGATGTTGGCTGAAATGGAGATAATTACAATGATGAAAACTAACAGGAGACGCCTGTGTTGGGGGACAGGGAAAAATCCACAGACAGATTTTCCCATTCTTCTCCCCATGCTGAGCCCTACTGGCTCTCTTACAACCCAAGAGGGGAATGGGCAGACAGAGCCCTGCTGGGCTGAAGGGCAGTATGGATAAATAACCACCGGCATGTTCACAGATGTGGGTGCTGCAAGATGTAGATGTGCTGAGCTTCCCTTGGAAATTCAGGGGAAGATATCTGGTGGAGGAAGGAGGAGAGGTGCACATTTCCAATCTCCTTCATATCAGCTATGAGCCAGGCTGTAATGACTTGTATCCTTCCCACCACTTTTTCAGTCTGTGAGTAGCAAACACCAAGCCCTGAGTTAAGCAGGGGCTATACAGTCAAACCTGAACTTTCTACCAAGCCAACACACAGTCCCTTGTTGTTCACCTGAGGAGGATAACAAAGAAAATGTGGTAAACCAGCAAGTGGTAATATAGTAACACAGAAGCTAAAGGTCTCCTGCACTCGAAAGTGCTAAACTCTAGCAGAAAGAGGTGCAGAGAGACTGCAAGGTGTCAGGACAAGCTGTGCAAGGGCTCAGTGTGGTAAAGCAAGATAATGTAAAGGATATGTTTGCTACATACAGATAACCCAGTGAAGATATGGACAGGGGAAAAGAGGATTGCCTCACCTTGAAAGAGTACAGCCATACAACAGCAATATTTACCCCCTTGGGCTTAAGTGAGTTTGCTGCTGGGGCTGTGGAGCAGACCTGCTGTGGGAGAAGAGACAGTCAGCTGGTGTAAAATGGTCCTTGGTTAAATGTCTGAAGGGGATGCATGACCCAGGGGCTCTCACAGCCAGGGATAGGACAGCAGGCACCAGGCAATGTCCCCAGAGCCTCAGGACGTTCCCAAGGTGCTGGCTAGGAGCTGAGGAGCTAGAAGTTCTCAAATCTGTTTGTTAAGAACCAAGACCCACCCCAGAGCTTCCTTCTCCAGGAGCCCTGACAGCTGCCCTGCAAAGTCCCTCCAGCTCAATTTTAGCTGGTCCCTAATACCAGGGCTAGCAATACTCTCCATACTCTCTGTGGGATTTCCTGTGAGAAAGAAATAGCTCACAGCAAAACAGAGACAACTGGCTGTGGGTATCTCTGGTGCTCCAGCCTAGGGCCATTTTGGGTCCATGCACCCACTCAGTACTGTGAGCTACAGGAGGGAAGAGCTGTATGGCATCACCACTTTGTGAAAAGGCTGGTGCAGGCAGTCACCATTCAAGTTTAAAAATATAGCAAAAATATTGCTGTATGAGGAGCTTTCTGTTTTGTCTGCTCATGTTTTGGCAGTGGCTGTCGGGGTCAGCCTGCAGCAGCCACCACAGCCCCAGACAGATGGCAGGGCTGGAGAGTCTCCAATGTCCGTGCACCACATTGCTCATGCTTCCCTTTTAGCTGCCACCACAGCCCATCCTTTATGTGCACTCGAAGCTGCAGTTTCTGCTGTTTTATCTTCTGTCAGAAAAGTTGCTTCAGTGTGGAAAAGAGTCCCATGCAACCCTTCATATAGCTGAAGACACTGGGAGACCAAAAGTGATCGGCACATCAGAGTAATGCAGACTTCCACTCCTCCAAACTACTCGGAACCCCAAGGTCAGGGAAGTGACCCTTCACTGAAGCCCTGTGTTACATGGAAAGATTGTGACACAAACAGCATGGCCACATCTCCAGCTCCTGCAGCCAGAAATGTACAGTGCCAGTGGTGTCCCCTGTGCACACCAGTTCAGCCTCTGACATCAGTCCCAGAGGTTTCCTTATCCTGTGTCATCCCTGCAGTTCTTCAGACTGGGGGTGATGGTCAGCTGAGCTGATGCAAAACCCCTATGCCTGCTTTTGTAGGAATTTCTCCTTCTTGCTACAGATGGTCTAGATGAATTGAGTTTGAATACAGAAAGGGAATTGTAGTTGCCACAGAAGACACCACCAGCAAGAGCTTGCTTTGTTTTCAGGAGTGCTGGCCACAAGCCCTGGTATCGCTATTTTTGTCAGCTAAGGCAGATGGGAGGCACCTTTCTGACACCAGGGTACAGGCTCTGGTGATGGGCTAAGCAGCCATTAGGAAAATATGGCAAAAAAAGCAGAGTGAGAGAGCCTACCTGGTAGGGTATTTTCCAAGAAAAGGCTAAGTATTTCCTGGATCTACTTGCTATCATAGCACCCATCTAGAAAGTGGAGGACACGTTTACCTCAATGCGATGCTCACCTTCCACCTATCTCAGAGCTGTGGTAACCAGCCAAGTCAGGCACTCTTATCCAAGAAGATCACTTTCCTCTGCCTTTGCTCAAGAGCAAAATAAAAGAAGTTTCTTAGTCAAAAGGAGGCCTTTCCCTTTCAGATCCACTCTCCCTTTACATCTCAGAGGGCTTACTGTGTCATATTGGAAGAGGGAAAAGATGACCTAGTTCAGCAGAGGAAAACAAACAGTATTAACTGCAATAGGGGTCATGGGATGTTCAGAGATGCTAGGTTGTTCAGCTAAAGTGTTTTGCAAAATACCAGCAGTCATCACTGTTGGTGAGAAGAGCAGTGAGGACAGCTCAGGTTTGCAGGAGAAGGTAGCAGTGGGGGGTCAGGGTGAGCATGTAATCTGCAGCATGGGAGCAGCTTGGCAAGTAGTGTTTTGATAACTGTCCTACCCCAGATTCCTCCTCCT